GTGTGTGTGTGTGTGTGTGTGTGTGGTGGGATACAGCGTCAGGCAGTTATAAATGGCCATCATTTCCCAAACCACTCTGTTCTCCATTGTGGAGCGCATGTCGCCGTGGGGCGTAAGGGAGGTGATGTGTGTGTGAGTGTGTGTAGGAGGATGTAAGGATGTGTGAGGGGGTAATAGAGGAAGTGAAGGGGCTGATAGTCCCAGAGGAAAACTGTGACGGTAGAGAATAGCGGAGACGCACCACTAGGTAGTCTGGAAAGCTGTGCAGAAATCAGTGTGTGTCGAGGAAGAGACAATTGTCTAAATATAAAGACACAGAATATACATATTGTACCAAACATATGTCCTCATTTAATGACTTTGGAAATACTAAGGTAATTGCAGCCCCTCTAAGAAATAATTAACTATCCAACATTTGTACACTATTAGATTTTACATTTATTAATTCATGATCATCATTAATGTCCACACTGACAGGACTATAATTCTAGTGGAAAAACAAATCTGTTCATTTTATAACAATACATTTTTTTGAAGATATTAACTCTAAAGAATATGAGCGTCAGCCTTCAACACCAACAATTCATTTGTGTGTAATGTAAACACCTCCTCAGATTGTCTCCGAAATGCCCTGAAAAAATCACTAGGACATGACCTGAGTGTACTCAGTGGTAGTTACTGTGCAGCTATTACAGTCAGCTAATCCAGAGTTTCTCACAAATTCATGGATTTTTCCCGTCTTGTAGAGCCGAAATGCAACCAGAACTTTCAGGTTTTTTTTCAGAGGTAAGAACGCCTCATACCTCATATGAGTGAGTCGAGGACCCACAGTGAGTTCAGACATGGCTAATAACAGAGAGGACTGAACCTTGTAGAAGTTTTTAGACAGCAGATATCACAACTAAAGAGTAAAAATGGTATTTGAAGAGTTATTTTTTTTCATGGGTATGACCCATAACCCAAGTTAAGATCACATGAGCAGGTACATTTTCATGGGAGCTGTAGTTTTTTTCTGTGCTCACAAACTAATAATTGTTTAACTTTGTTAAAATCGAAGGTTTCAACTTACTGTATGTTTTCACAGTCTTTCTGGCAATCACCAACGCTGGTTTGGTAGAAACGAAAACCCTAATTCACTGAGTTAGATGTGAAAATATTTGTGAAAAGGGCTTTAATGGCCGCTACGTAAGCTAACGTACATCCTTGGTAACAAATGTACCTGTCAAAGTATAACCACCAAAAGTACTTGCTTTAGTGACTGACAGTGACAAGGATCCCTACAAACAAAGACATTTTGTTTCAACAGAAACATCCATACTATTGTTAATGCTTGGCACTCACTGTACCTACAAAATGAAACTCACCCAAACCATCTTTGTTAGTCTTTCTACTGTTCCAACAATCAGTAACTCTGATTTGGTTGAAATAAATCCTTAATTCACAGCAGTTTCAGTTGCTCTTCTCTCGGGCTGTCCCTGACTAAAGATTTTCCTGGTCGACTAGCCGATTTATAGTTTTCAGTCTATGAGGGCAAAACAACGTTATGGCGACTTACACTGAAAACTCTGTAGAACCGCAAAAAATACATAAAGAAACTTTTGGGCACTTGCCACTGAAAACAGCAAAATCCCTGCCAGTGCTCCAGTTTTCTGATATTTACATCTATCTTGTGGAGAATCTCTCCCCTTACACTGCCGCCAGAGTGAAAGCATACAAAACTACAGACTAGGGATGTCCTGATCCAATCTCAAAGCTCGGTGTCTGCGCCAATCAAGGCATTTTTTTAACTGATTGGTATTATATTGATACAGTTGGTACTATATTGAGCTTTATTGATCTGATCTGATCTTTTGTTTTATGTCAGCTGTTACACTGCTGCGTTTACTGGTGAAGCTCTCATGCACATTGCAGCTATCATGACACAGAGCTCAGACTGGAGAGGCAGACAGCGAGAGAGAGCAGGAACAGCACCGGAGAAACAGCATTAGAGATTCGAGACAACCACACACAACACGCCACTGCAAGCGCAACAAATGCCCCACAAACAAAAAGCCAATAAGAGAAATTAATTCATTAATTAATGTAATATGTAGACAGAATACAGACAGTTTCAGGTAATTTGGGTGATTCCGAGCAACCAAACACCAGAGAGAGAAACTCCCTCCAGTCAGCGACGAGGCAGAAAGATTACTGTTACTTTATTCTTACCATCTAACACCTCTCACACTCTCTACCCCTTCATGCCCCTCATGTGTTCATTTTAATTTGTTTTAAACTGGATGTTATTTAAGATATTTAAAAGCTTCTAAGACTGGATACTGTTACAATAACTGTTTTATACAAAACATAGTGAGCCTGCAAATGTCTATGCTTTGTTTTTTTTTTTTTTTTTTTGTTTTTTGTTTTTTGTACTAAATTATGGTTTTAATCTTTCTATGAATGCTTTGGTCATTGCACAAGTACCCCATGGGTTAACCTACCCCTGGATGGAACCATTAAACTGTGATAATAGATATTACCAGGTATTCTTAGACCTTCCTTAATTGATGTTGGAAGAAAATTCTGAGCATTTCATTTTTGCTGTATTTGAGAATAATTTCCCTGCTAACTATCTGCTCACTGCCATTGTTCAGCTTGTGTCAAGGGTTCATTTAAAGTGTTACTTTCATAATAATGCAGAGGCCATTTCTGGTGCCAGCTAAACCTTAGGATATAATTGTCTTTTGTTTTATTCTTATATCCCTCTTTTCCATCTTGCCTGGAACGCTCTCCAAGCATTTCAGTCACTCTACTGTACATCTGCATTCATTCTTATAACTTAAGAATCTTTTGTTAATGGTATTGTGTTTTCTTTTGGCAGTCATAAAGTTTAGGATTTAAAATTGTTAATGACGTTTGGCTGTGCTCGCCCATTGGGAGCTTATACTATCCTCTTTTCTTAAAGCAGTTTGGTTACATACTGCAAGTCCAACCACTGGGATTAAATTGGTCTATCAGAAGCAACTCTTTGAAAGATAAGCACTCGTGGCCAGGTTCATCCAGTGATTTGGATTGGCATCAGAGGATATAATGTAATAGATTCTAAGAGTTATTGTCTTTCTGTGAAATCTTTCTCTTTCCTCAAAGCTGCACTTTGCTTTTGTTTTTTTGCTTTTCAGTTTTTCTTCCTCTCTGACACACTGCTGTAGCATACATTTCCTTAGTGGTGCTGGATGTTAAATCATTAAAACACATTCACAAAACCCACTGAGATCCCTGCTAATGATTTATTTATTTTATTATTTATTTCCCCAGTGTCACTCTCAACCAGTGTCACTCAGACACTGATGATGCGACACCTTTCCTCTTGTTCTCAGAATTGTTATAAAGCACAAACACTCCATCTTTCCCTCTTGTCTCCGAAAGAGGTTAGAAATTAAGTGGCAAGAACAGCATGGGACACTGTGAGTATATGTGTGCCCCCGCCTCAGTATATTACAAATGTCTTCCACTTAGGCCTATTTCAACCGGGGGCCTGATATGGTTTTGATACAAGAGACAAGTGAGGAAAAAGAGAGGGCCAGTTAAGGAGGGGAAACGGCCAGTGTTTGACAGGAGGCCTTTCTAAATCCCACACTCATCCATCATAAGTGGCATTTGTGCACTCTGAAGGCCTGATAATAGCCTTTTGCATTTTCACACTGCGCTTTGCCTTCTGGATTTGATCGGGAGGGGGGTGAGATGGAGGAAAAAGAGGTGAGGAGTGTGGGATGGGGGACACACATATACTGTGGTTTCATTCATTCTCTCTTTTTTCCCCCAACCCCTCATCACAACACCCTCGCTCCTTCAAGGCTGCTTCTCTTCTCTTCCCCTCTACATTTTGGGAAAATCACTCTCTGAATTGGAAAAGGGACCCTGGGGCCACAGGCGCAAGGTCCGTGTTTTTTTTTTCTTTGGATAATTGACTCTCGTTGCCTGGTAATTCATCGCTTGCATATGCCAGCTAATTCATCAGGAGAAGAGAAGCTGCCGACCTCACAACCTTGTGTGCCCCACACGCCCCAAACACACACACACACAATTCATATCTTAACACTTCTCACACCTCACCTTGCTAAATCGCACATATGCATGCACACATATACAAACACACTCACACACACACACACACACACACACACACACGCCATGCAGTGTTGGGTTTATCCCCACTCCACCCCCACCAGCCCCAGAAGAGCCAGGAGCTTGGAATGAGAGGAGGGAGCAAGCGGCAAGTTAGCGGATGAAAAACCCGAGATGATAGATGGGGCGCATTGTGGCATTATGAATGAATTATACCTCCCAAATACCTTGAGCAGTGCAGACTGTCAGCCTGTATCTATACTAATCTGGGAGAAAATATAGCTGTTTCCACATTAAAGGCGGCCAGCAAAGAACGGGCCGCAGAATTAATTGAGCAATCAGGCCATTAGAGAGAAACATCATACTGAGCCCCATTTCTGATGTAGCAACATTTATCACTGCTGACCAGGAATCTGCTTCCACTCCTGTATGGGTTTATTCTTCTTTTCTCTCTCGTTCTCTCTAATGTGGCTCCATCTTCAAACAGATTAGGATTATTGTGACAAGACAAAGGTATCTTTTGTCTTTTTCCATAGCCGTGTCAGTGCCGGCTGCATTTATCACGGTTGTCACACAGTCTTAAGGCTTTCAGCTTGCACACCTTGTCCCATTTTTCTCCCAGCGGTGGGTCCATGTTAAATTTGCAAAGAAAAGTACATTATTGGAAAATGTCCCCAGATAAATTGTAGGCCTGTCAGATACATGAGCGTTTGTTTTGCACCCCCCCAACCTCAGTTTTATGTTTATCAGGTGGATCTTGAGAAAATGTGATTCAGATTTTTCTTCCTCAAAGTCGCTGTGACATTTTATCACTGTATTGGGTCTCGGGAGATGTTAGTAGGTGTAGGTGCTCAGTGATATCTAAAATGTGACATAAAGTTCAACAAACAGATAAATAAAAGTGAAAAGGCACATCAGTTTATTAATGTAGCACATTTAAAAACAGTCAAGGTCTCGATACCTAATGTGATAAAAAGAAATAGTACAAAAAGGCAATAATACATAAACTACTTTACCTACCACAGACACAGTCAAGATAAAAGTCAATGCAATCCTTTTGGAAATGTTTATGTAAATTCAGATATTTCCGATTAATGATGCATTTTACAGAATCATACAGTAATTTTTTTGTTCACTTTCATGATGAAGAATGACGTAATGGAAGCAAACTTTTGTAGATGAATAGATTTTTACTTGATTATTTATAATTTTGTTATTATTATTTCCTCTTATTGTCAAATAGCATTGTGGTATACTATATTGACCAATGCCAGATGCCATAGATGCAGGTATTTGAAGCTTTACTGACTGAATCTCCTGGGAAGTGTTAATTATTATTGTATTGTGTATACTGTGGTTTTTAAAAGTACTGCAAAGCACTAATATTTTTTCCTTTTTTTAAGGTTGCTTCTTTTGTCCCTCTGGCACAGTAAAGGCAATGTGCCAACAGTCTATTAATATCTGGCTCTAGAGGTGAAGTGAGATACTTTGTGTCTGTGGTTCTCAGTGTATTTGTGTGCTAAAAGTCCACCTTCATAAAAGTAGACCCTTTGGGAAGAATCTTTCGCATTTTTCAGCAAAAACTAAAATACTGTATATCTTCCCGCCGTTTACAGTAACATGGCTTTTGTTTTAATCCTCTAACATTTTTAAATATCTGTTTGTGTACAAGAAAACAGATAAGAACTACAGTGAATAAACCCAGCAATATGTCGGCTACTTCAATCAAAATAAACCCACTAATAAACCCACTGAAGTAGAGATCTGTGATAACATACATAATAAGATGTGTCCCCTCACAACTACTGACTGGATGGGACAGTTGCCTCTGTGATCTAATATCAAACATCTATCTCCCTCTGCTGGACAAATCAGAGAACTGTGCCAAGCTCAGTAGAGGCTGCAGATGATTTTTCTGAATTCAGCAATTGTTAATAATGCTGAATAAATTGTAAGGCAATTGTAAATATAGCAAATGTTCAGAAAAAAGCTGTAAAGTAGTTTTAACTGATTTTTTCCTGTAAAAAGTATTTGATTTTGTCAGTTATTTCCCTTTTTTATTCGAACTGCCTCATTTTTACCCACAGTGGACATGAAGTTAATACTTACATTACTTGATTAATTCCTTTCTTTGTTAAAGGTGAAATAAAACAATGTTTCTATACACATCTTCAGAGTACTGGTTGATATACTGGATGAACCAGTATACCGGTTTTAATGATATGAATTTTTCTTACGGGTACATCGCTAAAACAACTACTGTAAGTCATTGTTACCTAACTATCTGCCACGTCATGTTTCTTACTTGTGCAATAGAACATTTAAGAAATATCTGTTTGTATACTTTATAGTGTTTTTACAACTATTTTTTGAAAGGGAGGCAAAGTTGTTGGCATATCTTATTTATTATTTTCAAATTCTGTTTTTGCTATATTGCAGTTTAAACGTGTTTATATTCTGCTACCATTTCATGCATATAGTTATTTTATTGTATCATTTGGTTCGGCCAAGAAAACCATATAGTAATCAAAGCTTTCAGTACATACATGATGGCATTAAACTGTTTTTATAGTCTATGTACTCCTGACAGTAGAATAATCCACTATAAACCTAAATAAAGGTACAGTCATGCAAAAAAAAAAAAAGAAAAAAGGAATATACTGTGAAACTGTCAGAATCTTAAAAAATACTGTGATACACATTTTTGGTCATATTGCCCAGCACTAGTTCAAAGAACACAGTTCGTGTTCTTCGTTGGGAGGACAGGTTTCAGACCTGAGAGTTTTCGGTGGTGCTCTGAACAGTTCCTCTGCTGGAGTCGTTGTCACCTTCAGTCTCTGTGAGGAGAGAAAAGGAAACAGCCACCATTAATCCACCGTAACAGCACACCACACTGACAAAACAAGTTAACTATGTGTGGGATGTGTAATATTCATATTACCTGTCTCAGTGTTCCTGGAGTTACAGCCAGACTGTAGAGAACCCACAGCGGTGCCATGAGGACTGAAGAGAAAGAAAGAATCAGCCCGAGGACATGGCTCCACCAGGGGTACTGGTAGGTGTTATTGTAGCTCAGACGGTTGAATTTGACCAGAGAGAAGAGTAATATGCCCTGTGAAAAAACATACACAACTGTCAAATAAAACGGAAGCCACAGGAATGCAACTTAGTGATGCAAAAAAACGAGTAAAAGTCAGAAAATTGTGTACACGTTCATATATTTATGTATATGTGCACACATTATTAATTCATAATAACTTTGTTAGGCTTAGAGGAACAGAAATTCCCTTTATTTACTCACTGTAGCCACACATGGAGTGACGAACCTCCAGCAGTATTTCATATACGGCGATGGGCGGTAGTTAATCATGTCGGTAATATTATTGTAGTAACGATCAGCACCTTGGAGACAGATATTTATATTAAAAAGTATAAATGCTTGGTTAGAGCTGATTGACAGGATGACATAATGAATGTAGCTCACCATATACCCATCCTACACAAATGCACTCCAAAATGCCAAAAATCATCAATGGGATTCCACTGCAGGCATAGTAGTCAAAAAGCTGAAACACATAAAGTCCTCCCTGCAGGGAAAGAGAAGGTTCAAAACAGAGAGAGAGACAGAAAGTGAGTTATTGTGAAATAAATATCTGTTTAATTGTATCTGCAGCAGGAGACCATATTTTCTTTGCATTTACATTTGGGGCTGCAAACACTTTCAACACATGAAAACCACAGAACAAAAGATGTGAACATAGATAGAAGTTATTTTCTTTGCTTTTGAAATCACACAGAAACCAAACGACACCCACCTCAGTGACCATAGAGAGACCAACCAGAAAGGATACAACACAGATGAACAGCGAGAGTAGTTTACGTCGATGACCCATGAAAAAGAAGGATGGATACATGTCTGATATGGAAGTGACCAGGCCTTCCAGACACACAAACTGTGGGTAAAAAAAATTATTAATAAATTAAAGCTCCACATTGACACAGAATAAAATGAGTCATTGTGATGTCAAAGGTACACTGGCAGTTCTTATCCCACTGGGAATTAACCCATTAAAGTGTGAACCTATCGTTACGTCATCCATTGGTTTGTGGAATACCGATTTGAAGTCTCGACTTCGCCACCATGACAGTTAGACGGAGCCAGCACGAGCCAACAGACTGACGTTCTGCGAGTTGCTCTGCGCTCATTGGCTGCACAGTTTTGTTGTTCTCATTCTCCATTCGAGTGAATTGGATCCCTGTGTTATTGCAGCCAATGGAGCACCCCCTGCTGGCCTTTATATAGAATGCAAGTTTAAGACACTTCTGCTTTGGCTTCACTTTTCAGACCCGGAAGCTCTTTCCATTATATATATACTGTCAGTGGAATTAACACTTAACTCAGCAGCTCTACACAAACTTTTGCTGCTTTTAGGACATTCTTCTGCTTTATGTGTCTGTGCTTCAGTCTGTGGTTCAGTTTCCTGGCTCTAACTAATCTTCATGATCATTAATCAGGTGGCTTCAACATGGTGCCCATGTGTCACTGTGTCTGCTGGATGTGCAAGTAGAGAAGTAGTTGCTAAACATGTTAGCCATGCTGACTCAATAAGCTTGTATATCAAGGTTTTCTTCTTCTTTTTTTTTGAAATTCACCCTCAGAGGACTTTCTCTCAGCTTTCATTGTCAAAACTGTGTGGAAACGCAAAAGAGTTAAAAAAAACCTGCATTGCAGAACCGACAGAACTACGTCAAACAGACAACAACAGAATGTATTCCAAGGCAGTGTTTTACTTTAAATTCAACACAAAGAAACAGGTTTCTCTGGTTATGTTTCCTAATTTCATATCCTATCTATGATTATTTACCACAGTCTAATTGTAACACCTTTACCTCACTATCCAGTCCAAGGAAGATTATCATAATGAAGAAGAGCACAGCCCAAAGTTGGGGCAAAGGCATCATGGCTACTGCCCGAGGATAGGCAATAAATACCAGGCCGGGACCTGCAAGTGGTACAAAGATTTAAAAATACTTACTTACTTACTTATTTACTTACTTATTTACTTGTAATGGAAAATTCATTTTAAAAGTATAAGAAACCTTAATGTACAATAAAGCCCACACAGGTGTGTTATTATTGTGGTATTACGTGCAGTGTCACACCTGATTCAGCTACTGTTGAGATGTTGACACCAAACTCATGAGACATAAAGCCGAGGACAGAGAAGACTGCAAAGCCAGAGACAAAGCTGGTCGCACTGTTCAACAGGCACAGGGCAAATGCATCTCTGTAATTAAAAAGGGTTAAGATTTGTATACTGAGACATAAAAACTCATTGTATAACAGAGGGGACAAATATGTATTGTATTTACTTGTAGCAGTTGTTGTTGTATTTGTTGTAGCTTCCTAAGGCTTGCAAACAGCCTAAGCAGACAGCAAAGGAGAATAATATCTGGCTCCCAGCATCCATCCACACCTTTAATGAAGTTGGGTCAGGGTAATGGGGGGGGTATTGGATTGTTATATGTCCAATCTTTGTCAAGTATTGTTATCTTTTGTCTTCTCGTTTACATGAAAACAAAAAACATCACGGTTAAAAAACAACAACAAAACAGTTGTAACTGTTGCCATAACTGAGAATTAATTGAATTTGGTATTTACAATTACCTACTGTTATGTGAAGTCTCATCCTAAAGTATCTGGGTTGCTCTCGCATGACAGCACCAGCACTGGCAAGCTAGCAGTAAGCAGGGGCATTTTCACTTTGATGTAATGTGAACGAATATAAGGAAACCTCTGAAGACTCGAAGACTATTCCCTGTTTATAGCATGCTGCCAACAAGGTATTTTGTTTTGTTTGTCTGTATTTCACTTTATTAATTTATTTGTTATTTCATATATTATGCATGGCTTATGTTAACTTGGCTAACATGGTCTAATGTTATATTTTCTCATCAACACTGTGTGTTTAAGCTTTCATGGTGGATTTGAGGAGCAAGAGAAGCCTTCAAATAAACTAGTAACAAGAAAGCCACTTGTGTCTCTCTGTGCTTCAAAGGAATTACTGAAATTAGATTTAGCATGTAGTTGTTTTTTGTCTTTATTGTTTAGCTATAAATCTCCTTTATTTTATCATTTATGTACAAAAAATGTTAATAAAATGTCTCAACATTAGCTCAGCAACTCCCTCTAATGCCTAACTTCATTTATAAATAGCAGCTTTGTGTTAGCCAAACCTACCAGGCACAGATGCAATATTGTATTCTAGCTATAGAAACGCCTCTGTCATGAAAGTTTGGCTGTCTGACTATGGTAGAAATAAGCTGAATCTCCTTTACTGTAAAAAAATAAAAAAAAAAAAAATAAAAATAAAAGTCCCACCTGACTTTTCTTACAGGAACCCTGAACATGCTCATGTTAAACAGCTGGAGCAGTGGCAAGTTTAGAAATGTTTTTCCATGGGATGTCCTACCCCAATAATATGTGACTTTTGAGAAGACCCATTGCTAACGTAGAAAGTAAAGTTACGTATAGTAGAGTTTAGGGTTGTTGTTGTGAGATATTAAAATGTGGACAAATAATTTAAACAGACTCACTAAACACCCATACGTGTGCCTCACCTGAGGATCAGTTAGACGTGCTGGGTCAGGATAGAGGTAGAATCTAATACCGTCTCTGGCTCCTGGCAGTGTCACACCACGGATTAGAAAAGCAAATATCATCACATAAGGGAATGTGGCTGTGAAGTAGACAACCTGAAAGAGAAGCAGCAGTATAGATAAAATAAAACTGAAGGTTGACCAAACACAGTAAGAGGCTGCGCTCTACCTCTGTTGGGTCGGACAGCATCAAGGCTCCTCCGAGGGGCATTGATCTCTCACGCGACGGCATCTCACACAACTTTTATTGTTTATTGACAATGTGAACTTGTTCTAGGGGCCCAATTCGGAATCCATCCCAGCTTTGAGGGCATGCGTGCATGGTCAGCAAACGTTCTGCACCAGTCTGACCTTCCTCAGCTCATACAGTAGTTTGAGCTATTGTTGAGGATGTCAGACAGGAATTAATTCAGTCTCTCGTTGTCTCACTATCCAGTGTGTTACTTCTGCATCTGGAAAGGAGTCAAGTCTTCAGGAAAGGTGAGCTACCAAACAACGAGAGACTGACGGAGAACGGAGCTCAGCAGAAGACATCCTGCCAGGTCCCAGCGGATACTACCTACTTCTTCAATTCCTCCAGACAAACCTAGGATTCTCCTCCTAAACACAACATACTGTATGTTTAGAAACATTTTCCTTTTCTAAGTCTGTAAAATAACTGCTTTCATTTCAGTATCAAGTAGAGTATTTGGGAACACATACTGCCAGAATTCTTCAACTGAAGATGTTGCGTTCTGAGAAATGTGGCCATTAGATGAATGATTCAGTTTATAATCGACACAGTCCTCTGTGTGGAAAATAGGATTGAGAAGAGTTAGAATGGCATCTTGTGATACAGGAAACTTTGTATGTATTGGCAATTTCTTCCTATTTTGTTCAAATCTGCACAACAATGGAGCTCTATGTTGTGGCTTCACAAACATTACTAACAACTTTTGGTAGAATCTGGTCATTTTTTGGTAATTACATGGGATTGACAACACCAAAAATATAGGATATCACCCAAATTATCTTTTATTTATGTCACACAATATATTGTATAATTTTACTTGTGTTCCAGGTGTTATTACAGCTGGCCCAGGGGAGTATAGTGTGGAAGGTGGAGAAGAGGTAGCAGGAGGCCCAAGCCAAGATGACAATATAATACATCGCATAGTATAGCAGAATCACCTGACTGCCGTAGCCTAAGCCTGAGGCACAATAATGTTAGCGTCAGCAAAATTATTTATTTTCAACACAAAATTGTAACATTATGTCAAATAATTAATTGAGTTTGCAGTACCTTCAAACAACGGACATATTTTCCTCCAACATGTAATTCCACCCTGAGCAGTCAACTGGCCCAGAGACACCTCCAGAAAGAAGATGGGGATTCCACAGGTGAACAGGACCAAAACATAGGGAACCAAGAAAACACCTCAAGGGAAGAATTTAACAAGGTCAGGATTTACAATGAGAAAAATACGAACATAAAATGTTAATGATTTAAAACCTCTAACTTTCTGCTGTACAATACAGCAAGACTTTTTTTTTGTAGGAATCTATTGCATACACAATCAAACAAGGTAGACATAACATGCTAAAACCAGGTCGACTAAATACAAAAAAGGGGCATAACCCTTGCACCCACCTAACAAGAGGGAGAGAGAATAAATAAATAAAAAGGGGGGGGGATAACAGCTAACAATAAGTAACAAAGATTAATAAATAAAACACAGCTAGGGCAATAATCTCAATGATGTTTTCCAACTTACACTGCTTAAATAGAATAGGGTACAGAGTAGCATTATACAAAGAATGGATCGTTTTCTCGGTTGTTCACGTGTTGAAACCATATATACATCAATGGTTGAAACACAAGGTTTCATGCAGGGGTATGCACACATTTTTTAATGGGTGTGGCTCTTACTTGGCAAAAACACAAACATTTTGCCACCATGTTAAACCAGTTAGGTAAGATGGGTTCATGTGACAGCATTATATATGACAATGTTGTGCAAAGTGATAAATACCTGACAAGCTGCTGCTCTGAAGCATATGTGGAGATTTTTATTCACAGGGCATCCAGGGCATAATGTTCAACGTTAATCAGTCACACAACAGCAACAATACCAAGTTTAAATGCTACAGTGCCACAGACATTCTGTGAATTAACACAGCCACGACAACTACATTTAAACTTTAAAGGGAAACCCTACTGTAAAGTATGTTATACATACTGAAAGTCAAAGTCAATTACTACTACGGTTAAATAATAACTAAATAGGAGGGGGGGGGTATGGGATTAGGTCTTATTGAAACTTGAGGGATTCTTCTTTTTTTATTCCCCAATGAATTGCATTTTTGGTGGCGGCAACATGCTCTAAAACTCATAAAACGAGACACAAAATTTCCCATGGCAAAAAATGTCCACATTATGTAGGTCTTTATTGAATTAAAATATTGATTAGCTGTTGGGCAATATGGATGCAGATCTCTCAGTAAAAAATCAAGTATCCAGTCAAGCCATAGTATAAATAGTATTTTATATTTGAAAATGTATAAAAGGAAATCTTATTTCTCAAAAACCTCCTCAAGTATTGAATTCTCATAACTTGGCCCCCGAACTCAGTTGAAGAACAGACGTCTGCTTCATCGTGTGTGCTCAGCCCACCCACTGTCTTACCTCCTCCATTTTTGAAGCACAGATATGGAAATCTCCAGACATTGCTCAGACCAATGATTTCTCCGACTAATGCCAAAATGAACTCCCTCTTGTTGGCCCACTGTCCTCTATCATACTTTGCTGGAACATTATTTTTCATCAGATTCCTCTCCGGTTTGCTTGCTGGATGCATCGGAACAGGTTTTCTGTGCTGAAATGTCAGTTACATAATTCTTAGTGTAGGTCTGGGCAAACAGATACAGGAAAAAAAATGAACGTTAAATTGAAAATAAGATGATTAACAAATATAAAACTGAGGTATGGGAAAGGATCCAAGTGCAAACAATGCAGGCTGACTGTAAAAGTACAATGATTTGGAGACAATATACTGTCTCCAGATACCCTTACAGAATCGTGAGGCAGGTGAGGTTCAGCACCAGGAAGGCAGTTCAATCAGGTAAACAGTCTAAATCCAGGTAATTCCAGATAAAAAAAACAGGGCAGATCAGTTACAAATTGTTTATATAGGGTGTGTCACAGGAATCAAGAGGTGGGCAGGGGGAAAAGTTAGGACAATTCCAAGGGCCCATGACTGACAGGGGCCCCAAAAAATAGGTAAAAACTAATTTTTAATGAATTAATTCATTAAAAAGAAAAATTAAACCATCATCATTCAGTATATATATTTCAAATATAATAATAAAATTAATGATCTCTTTGTTTTTACTTGTTTTTGGCAGTAAAACTTAAATATCCACATTGACCAAAAAGTAAACATCCATATTGATCGAGCACCCCCCTGTATCTGCATGAAGTGGTTTGGTCCTGCCTTAGCGCAATTATCAGTGACAGTCATTTGATGCGCCAGAACTGGTTTTCAAAAAAGGAAAGAGAGAAAAGAGAGAGAGAGGAATGGATGTCAAAATGTAACCCAGTTTTTCACCAAGAAAGGAGCCTATAGTCTGTGAGTGCTATTAACCTGTTGGCTTAATGTCCATAGGGAAATAAGATAGCCAGCTACAGACTAGTGTTAGCCTACATTTAATCACCATTTAATCAGTTCAGGGAAATGTTTAGCAACATATTCATATTAAATCATTGTCCCTGCCCCTTTTAGCTGACTAACAGATGAGTCAGCAGCACCCCAGTCTCCCCATCACTGTACCCCTCCCAGTCCCAGTGAAGAAGCTGAGCAACATTGTGTTCAATGACAGGCCAGTTAGCATCATTGCAGGGAGTCTGTGGGGATTTCTCTGTCTCTCTTGCTCTTTTTACCATTACAAAAAAGAAAATGAAATATTTATTAATGACAGAAATTCAAACACATTAATAACAATTATTTTCTCACACAATGATCATTATGAAATAAATAACAAACAATTAACAAGATGCAGCTACACAGTATTTTTGGAGAAGTCTGCATTGCTTTACGTATATTTTGTAAGCTAAAACTGATTTTAAAAAAAAACAATTTGAGGTCCACTATATCTCAGGACAGGCTTTGCAGTCTTGCCATGTTGTCCATTGAAAGTCAGTTGGCTAGAAAGCTAGACTTCAAAGACTTATCAGTGACTTTGCTAGCAAGAAGGCTCGGCGCTGGGCTCTTGGTGAGTCAGGCTGAGCGAGGGCCAGTGATAGCTGCCAAATGGCATGGCTATGGAGATTGGATATTACTACAGACATAATGCCCACAGCCTAAAAAAACTGAGAACAAGATATATGGCTGGACTGCCAAAAAAGTTTGGGTTTCCAGGAGTCCTTTGTTCTTATTTATACCTTTTTAATTTGATGTCACTGGTACTGTCAGTTTGTCATGACCATATTCCAAACCTCGAAACCTTTTGATTTGGTGATCACTTGATCTGTTTTATAGCACTATAATAACCCTGGTGTGGAAATTCCATTTTACATGTCAACTTTATTTTCTTGTTGGCATATATGTGCAGCTAAGTTCAAGAATCTGATGTTTTCATTGTTTTGAGAGGATGATGTTAATTTATTTTGATTGAAAAGTTAATATATATTTAAGTTTGTTTGTTTTTCTTTTTTTAAATCTTTCATTAATAATTATAATAATAATTAATAATAATAATTAATGATTAATTTCACTAAGAGAATTTTCCATTTTGAAATTTTACAATAAAAATACATTGAGACTGTAAAAGATGGCCTTTAGCACATTTTTTATGGTTGCTTTTAATCTTGCATCAAATAGTAAACTCCATACTGTTTGCAGACTTGCATGCATGTACAAATCACCAGCAGTAAATATTGTGCTAGTACTAGTATTGAACTACTAGAAGCAAGACAGTTGCAAGCCTTTAATTACAGTTATGTAAAGCTTTTGATGGGACAGTTAGGTCCTAGAGATGTGGTGACAACAGCTGCACAGAGGGGGCCCAATTAGATTTTTTTGTCATGGGGCCCAAAATTCCTGGTTGACCTGTTCTCTTCCTTAACTTACTCACTAATATTAATATCACATCTTGCGAACACCTTTTGTCGTTCTGTAATATTGCACATACAACTCTTTTAAGATCTACCCACAGATTCTCAATGGTATTTAAGTGGACTGTGAGGACCATTCCTTCAGCTTGTGTCTCTTGAGGCAGTCCATGGTAGATTAGGAGGTATGTTTATGTTTATGAAATAAAAACAAACAATGCATGAATGTTTGCTGCATTGTGTTGTCTCATTCTTAGCTAACAAAAACACAACAATTCTTATTTTCAGGTGATTATACACTAATGAAAACATACTTGTTAACAGGTGGGAGGAAAGGGGTCATGTGGTTCATGTGCATGAGGTGTATAGTGCTGCCTCCTACTGGACAGTCCTGGAACAGATCGGTTCAAACATGAAGTCTATACAATGTACACAACCACAGAGGAAACATCCTTAAGGTAGTTATTATGGTTAATTATGGTTATTAAAATAAGTCAAGTCCAGGGGTTTCCAATCTTTGTCAAGTCAGGGACCCCCACAGTAAATGGGCATTAGACCACTGACCCCAAATTTGAAAGGATTTTATCTTAAGGAAACCCCTCTGAATATTTTTTTTTTTGTGTTATGAATGAATATTTGGTATTTTTGCTTAGGAAAATTATTATAGTTGCCGGTTTAATAATGAATTAATTGTTTTATTTTTTAGAGTAGATGGATTCAGAGAGCACAGTTCAAGAAGAAAATGCTACAGTGCAGTGAGTGGATGTTTATGGGATGTTATGCTGCCTCTTGGTGGCGGCAGTCAGAAATCCCTGAGAGAAGTTAAGGCTGCACACTCAATCACAATACATCAATAATTCATGATGATGTCTTCATAGTCAAACTAGGATCAAACTAGGATCACCATAAATTACAATCAATCAAGACTCCCTACTTTTTTCCTTGTTGTACTTCCAAATAATGTGATAAAAGCCACTGAACTACCCTAATACCCCCTCAGGAAGGTTGTAGTCTGGAGCCAAAGGGCCCGAACAGCAAACACTGTACGTGAAGAGAGACTTTCTGTCATGTTTGATGCTCTGTACAATCATGAATTATTGATATATTGTGATTGAGTGTGCAGCCCTAACTTTTCTCAGGGAGTTCTGACTGCCGCCACCAAGAGGCAGCATAACATCCCATAACATCCACTCACTGCACTGTGGCATTTTCTTCTTATCTTAGAATGAGAGTGATATGAACTGGCCTCTGTGAATCCATCTACTCAAGAATTAAAACAATCAATTTATTATTAAACGGACAACACTTTTGATAATTATTTCAAGCAAAAATGCCATACAAGAAATCACCTTGGACCGAATGATTAATCGATGAGGCTAATCAAGAAAATAATCATCAGATTCCGTGATTGATACAAAATGACTGTTAGTTGCAGTCTAATCGTCCTGAACTTCCAAATTTTAGTTGTTCCTATAAATAATATCATGAAAACTGAGACCAGGAAATAAAAAATAAAACAAAATACTGAGCGCTGCTGTTGAAATTAGCTTGTTTCAGTTTGTTCATCAGATAGGCCCACTGAAGAAACAGTAGTGTTCAAACTACTTTAAACATCTGCAGTGCCATAATGCAAAAATCACTCCAGTCAAATGTTAATTGTAAGGGCTCTGTCATAATATGCTCATCAGAAACAGCTGTTTTGACACAGACAAGACAAATATGTTTCAGAAGCTGGCATTACTTTCAGACACTATAATTTCACTGTTGTAACTGTTATTACAACTTGTCTCCTAGATTTGTCTCAGCCTACTGTTTCAGTTGATGTATATTGTATTTAACAACTTTAAATTATTCATGTTTGCATGATAATGTATATAGTATTCTAGATACTTTGTCTGTGCATCTGTTCTGGCCTTCTGCTGCTGGGGCACAATTTCCTGTGTGGGATCATTAAATTTGACCCTGTCTCGTGTTATCTCAGTTTATATTAACATTTATATTATATTTTTATATTAACTTATTCATGTTCATCACTGAGGCTAGATGGACCAGACCCAATCAGAGCTCCCAGCAACAGGAGTAAGTGCTATTATATTAACTTTAAGTATTCAAATGTGAAGTGAAATTAAAACAGCACTGAATAAACCCTATGAAGGGGAATATAGTGAAGAAGAGGAGGTACACTGCAGTAGTACAGCACGTTGGGGTTGGCTCCACGCTCCGGTCTTTCTCGCGCCAGTCCTTTGGATCTCGCGCGCGGTTTCGGTGTGTTTTCGCACGCTCCGCAGCGGACCAATCAGAGGGCAGCGTCCCCTAGAAGCGTCCCGTTGCTATGCAGTTGTCCTGAATCCTGCCCTGTCCTGTCCGGCAGCGAGGGTGAGCTCTGCAACAGCTTGTTCATTCATCACTTTATTTAATGCTTTGTACAAACGGAGATTAAGTCTCTTTGATGTATATTTCTAAAATGTGTATTCCTGTTTATTTTCAGGTGGTTGTCACATTGTTGTAGGTGTATGTTTGTCCGGGGGAGGAGGAGGAGGAGGAGGAGGAGGGGGGTTGTGGATGTTAGCTGTTCACTCTTTATAGTTGTGCATAAGTTATTATAACATGGCTGCGGTGCTAGAGATGTGTTGCAAACAAGCTACTGAATAGATTTATTTTTTTTAGCCCAACTGTGGAGGCCAGCAGGCGGCTGTAGCGACGGTAGTGACCCGGTCGGAGACGGACACGCCTGTTGCTGTGTCTCTCCAATCCCACTCGAGAGCACACCCTAAACATTAGCATACGACCAATGATCGCTGCTCTACGGACAATGAGTTGTCCAAGACGGTTTTAATGTGAAGTTGCCAGATTTATCTCTCTGTTGCAGCATAGTGGAGTACAGATAAAGTGTGTTCAGTCGAGAAGACACGAGGATAACTCGCCACTACTATCACGTTACCCTTCGCTCTAAAGTGGATTTGGATTTTATGTACAACATGACATTTGAGGAACTAAGTGGGGATTATTCTCAAGAAAGGTAAATAATGGATTAAACATTTATTCTACTATAACGTCGATGCATGTGTAATGTTAACGTTACCGGTGTTCAGCGACATTACATGCATTCAATAGATTAGTGCACGATAGACTGCGGTCAAGCCAGCCGTAACTTCGATCTCCGTGGTCAAACCAGCCGCACGTAAATTTACAAGTGTGTTTTTTTTTTTAATTTTAGTTAAAAAGAAGAAAAAATGTTTTTTCTTTTGGGTTTTCAAAAAAAAGGTATTATGAATATTAAGGTATAATTCGAACCTACATTTAAAATAAAATATGTTGCATTAATAATTTTTTTTTTCCCCCCTTTAAAAAAAAAAAACCCCCTTTTTTGAGTATCTTTACTGCGCCAGTGTGGATAAACGTAAAAATAAAAATCCCATATTTATGCCTCCAGAGATTGCATATTTAACTATATTTTATTTTTTAAAAAAATATTTCTCTATAATTTATAAATATATATAATATATTTGACTTCCACACGTCTAAAACTACACACACACTCAATATCAAGCACTTTTACTGCAGCAATTTGGAGAAATTCAACAATAAAAGTCCTTATTTTTACCTCCAAGTGGCACATTTCACCATATTTGAGCTACTGTAAAATAATATTGCTCAATATTTCATGGCTAAGGATGGTATATCTGACTTCTGCACATCTAAGACTACACACACACTCAATATCAAGCACTTTTACTGCAGCAATTTGGAGAAATTCAATTATAAAAGTCCTTATTTTTACCTCCAAGTGGCACATTTCACCATATTTGAGCTACTGTAAAATAATATTGCTCAATATTTCATGGCTATGGATGGTGTACTTGACTTCTACACATCTAAGACTACACACACACTCAATATCAAGCACTTTTACTGCAGCAATTTGGAGAAATTCAACAATAAAGGTACTTATTTTTACCTCCAAGTGGCACATTTCACCATATTTGAGCTACTGTAAAATAATATTGCTCAATATTTCATGGCTATGGATGGTGTACTTGACTTCTACACATCTAAGACTACACACACACTCAATATCAAGCATTTTTACTGTACCAATTTGGAGAAATCTAAGAACAAATGTCCATATTTGTACCTCCAAGTGGCACATTTCACCCTATTTGAACTACTGTAAAATAATATTGCTCAATATTTCATGGCTATGGATGGTATATCTGACTTCTGCACATCTAACACTACACATATACTCAATATCAAGCACTTTTACTGCAGCAATTTGGAGAAATTCAACAATAAAAGTCCTTATTTTTACCTCCAAGTGGCACATTTCACCATATTTGAGCTACTGTAAAATAATATTGCTCAATATTTCATGGCTATGGATGGTGTACTTGACTTCTACACATCTAAGACTACACACACACTCAATATCAAGCACTTTTACTGCAGCAATTTGGAGAAATTCAACAATAAAGGTACTTATTTTTACCTCCAAGTGGCACATTTCACCATATTTGAGCTACTGTAAAATAATATTGCTCAATATTTCATGGCTATGGATGGTGTACTTGACTTCTACACATCTAAGACTACACACACACTCAATATCAAGCATTTTTACTGTAGCAATTTGGAGAAATCTAAGAACAAATGTCCATATTTGTACCTCCAAGTGGCACATTTCACCCTATTTGAACTACTGTAAAATAATATTGCTCAATATTTCATGGCTATGGATGGTATATCTGACTTCTACACATCTAACACTACACATATACTCAATATCAAGCACTTTTACTGCAGCAATTTGGAGAAATTCAACAATAAAAGTCCATATGTGTACCTCCAAGTGGCATATTTGACCACATTTGAGCTACTGTAAAATAATATTGCTCAATATTTCATGGCTATGGGTGGTATATCTGACTTCTACACATCTAACACTACACACATACTCAATATCAAGCACTTTTACTGCAGCAATTTGGAGAAATTCAACAATAAAGGTACTTATTTTTACCTCCAAGTGGCACATTTCACCATATTTGAGCTACTGTAAAATAATATTGCTCAATATTTCATGGCTATGGATGGTATATCTGACTTCTACACATCTAACACTACACATATACTCAATATCAAGCACTTTTACTGCAGCAATTTGGAGAAATGTAAGAACAAAAGTTCATATTTGTACCTCCAAGTGGCATATTTCACCATATTTGAGCTACTGTAAAATAATATTGCTCAATATTTCATGGCTAAGGATGGTATATCTGACTTCTACACATCTAACACTACACACATACTCAATATCAAGCATTTTTACTGTAGCAATTTGGAGAAATTCAACTATAAAAGTCCTTATTTTTACCTCCAAGTGGCATATTTGACCACATTTGAGCTACTGTAAAATAATATTGCTCAATATTTCATGGCTATGGATGGTATATCTGACTTCTACACATCTAACACTACACACATACTCAATATCAAGCACTTTTACTGTAGCAATTTGGAGAAATTCAACAATAAAGGTACTTATTTTTACGTCAAAGTGGCACATTTGACCATATTTGAGCTACTGTAAAATAATATTGCTCAATATTTCATGGCTATGGATGGTGTACTTGACTTCTACACATCTAAGACTACACACACACTCAATATCAAGCATTTTTACTGTAGCAATTTGGAGAAATTCAACAATAAAGGTACTTATTTTTACCTCCAAGTGGCACATTTCACCATATTTGAGCTACTGTAAAATAATATTGCTCAATATTTCATGGCTATGGATGGTATATCTGACTTCTACACATCTAACACTACACATATACTCAATATCAAACACTTTTACTGCAGCAATTTGGAGAAATTCAACAATAAATGTCCTTATTTTTACGTCAAAGTGGCACATTTGACCATATTTGAGCTACTGTAAAATAATATTGCTCAATATTTCATCGCTATGCATGATGTACTTGACTTCTACACATCTAAGACTACACACACACTCAATATCAAGCATTTTTACTGTACCAATTTGGAGAAACCTAAGAATAAATGTCCATATTTGTACCTCCAAGTGGCACATTTCACCATATTTGAGCTACTGTAAAATAATATTGCTCAATATTTCATGGCTATGGATGGTATATCTGACTTCTACACATCTAACACTACATATATACTCAATATCAAGCACTTTTACTGCAGCAATTTGGAGAAATGCAACAATAAATGTCCTTATTTGTACCTCCAAGTGGCACATTTCACCATATTTGAGCTACTGTAAAATGATATTGCTCAATATTTCATGGCTATGGATGGTATATCTGACTTCTACACATCTAACACTACACACATACTCAATATCAAGCACTTTTACTGTAGCAATTTGGAGAAATTCAACAATAAAGGTACTTATTTTTACGTCAAAGTGGCACATTTGACCATATTTGAGCTACTGTAAAATAATATTGCTCAATATTTCATGGCTATGGATGGTGTACTTGACTTCTACACATCTAAGACTACACACACACTCAATATCAAGCACTTTTACTGTACCAATTTGGAGAAATTTAAAAACAAAAGTTCATATGTGTACCTCCAAGTGGCATATTTGACCACATTTGAGCTAGTGTAAAATAATATTGCTCAATATTTCATGGCTATGGATGGTATATCTGACTTCTACACATCTAACACTACACACATACTCAATATCAAGCACTTTTACTGCAGCAATTTGGAGAAATTCAACAATAAAGGTACTTATTTTTACCTCCAAGTGGCACATTTCACCATATTTGAGCTACTGTAAAATAATATTGCTCAATATTTCATGGCTATGGATGGTATATCTGACTTCTACACATCTAACACTACACATATACTCAATATCAAACACTTTTACTGCAGCAATTTGGAGAAATTCAACAATAAATGTCCTTATTTTTACGTCAAAGTGGCACATTTGACCATATTTGAGCTACTGTAAAATAATATTGCTCAATATTTCATCGCTATGCATGATGTACTTGACTTCTACACATCTAAGACTACACACACACTCAATATCAAGCATTTTTACTGTACCAATTTGGAGAAACCTAAGAATAAATGTCCATATTTGTACCTCCAAGTGGCACATTTCACCATATTTGAGCTACTGTAAAATAATATTGCTCAATATTTCATGGCTATGGATGGTATATCTGACTTCTACACATCTAACACTACATATATACTCAATATCAAGCACTTTTACTGCAGCAATTTGGAGAAATGCAACAATAAATGTCCTTATTTGTACCTCCAAGTGGCACATTTCACCATATTTGAGCTACTGTAAAATGATATTGCTCAATATTTCATGGCTATGGATGGTATATCTGACTTCTACACATCTAACACTACACACATACTCAATATCAAGCATTTTTACTGTAGCAATTTGGAGAAATTCAACTATAAAAGTCCTTATTTTTACCTCCAAGTGGCATATTTGACCACATTTGAGCTACTGTAAAATAATATTGCTCAATATTTCATGGCTATGGATGGTATATCTGACTTCTACACATCTAACACTACACACATACTCAATATCAAGCACTTTTACTGTAGCAATTTGGAGAAATTCAACAATAAAGGTACTTATTTTTACGTCAAAGTGGCACATTTGACCATATTTGAGCTACTGTAAAATAATATTGCTCAATATTTCATCGCTATGGATGGTGTACTTGACTTCTACACATCTAAGACTACACACACACTCAATATCAAGCATTTTTACTGTACCAATTTGGAGAAATCTAAGAACAAATGTCCATATTTGTACCTCCAAGTGGCACATTTCACCCTATTTGAACTACTGTAAAATAATATTGCTCAATATTTCATGGCTATGGATGGTATATCTGACTTCTACACATCTAACACTAAACATATACTCAATATCAAGCACTTTTACTGCAGCAATTTGGAGAAATTTAAAAACAAAAGTCCATATGTGTACCTCCAAGTGGCATATTTGACCACATTTGAGCTACTGTAAAATAATATTCTTCAATATTTCATGGCTATGGATGGTGTACTTGACTTCTACACATCTAAGACTACACACACACTCAATATCAAGCACTTTTACTGCAGCAATTTGGAGAAATTCAACAATAAATGTCCTTATTTTTACGTCAAAGTGGCACATTTCACCATATTTGAGCTACTGTAAAATAATATTCTTCAATATTTCATGGCTATGGATGATGTACTTGACTTCTACACATCTAAGACTACACACACACTCAATATCAAGCACTTTTACTGTACCAATTTGGAGAAATCTAAGGACAAAAGTCCATATGTGTACCTCCAAATGGCATATTTGAGCTACTGTAAAATAATATTGCTCAATATTTCATGGCTATGGATGGTGTGCTTGACTTCTACACATCTAAGACTACACACACACTCAATATCAAGCATTTTTACTGTAGCAATTTGGAGAAATTCAACAATAAATGTATTTATTTTTACTTCCAAGTGGCACATTTCACCACATTTGAGCTACTGTAAAATAATATTGCTCAATATTTCATGGCTATGGATGGTGTATTTGACTTCTACACATCTTAGACTACACACACACTCAATATCAAGCACTTTTACTGCAGCAATTTGGAGAAATTCAACAATAAAAGTCCATATGTATACCTCCAAGTGGCACATTTGACCACATTTGAGCTACTGTAAAATAATATTGCTCAATATTTCATGGCTATGAATGGTATATTTGACTTCTGCACATGTAAGACTACACACATACTCAATATCAAGCACTTTTACTGCAGCAATTTGGAGAAATTCAACAATAAAAGTCCCATAGTTCTATCTACAGATCTAGATATATAGAGCATATTTTCCCATGTTTGAACTACTGTAAAAACACATTGCTCAATATTTCCTGGCCGATATACTGTATACTGTATCTGTATTTTATACTTTCAAGAGTAAAATGTTTTTCGATAAATACATAACTTTAGAAAGTAACTTTTATTTATATAGTTGAGTATGTCTTGCAGATATCGTTAATAAATTACATTTATTTTTAAGCCATCCTATCAAAGATGGGCTAATTATAAAAGGTTTGGATAGACCTGTAATGATTTTTAACTTCAAGTGGAGCGACAGATCTTGGTGTTTTTTCACACCTACACGAGAAATCCCCCATAATACCTTGAGACAGGTTGTTGTTGGAGAAGACATCACACAAACAGAGTGATACGTCCTAACGGATAATTTACTGACCTGCTTGTGTATTACACGTTTATTACATGAAAATGCCTGGAAAGAGCGGGTAAGTATTGCTTTACTAATTATTTTATTTTATTTTATGAAGAAACTCTGAATTTGAACTTTTTACTTAGCTTTTAAATTGCTTAAACTCTGCAAGGTCATCGACGTCCTTGTCAGACATTGTTTTCTTTATGAGGCCGAAGCGTAGTTTATAATGTAATGATATAATATTGAAATATAAGACATAAGGCAACCACTAGGATCAAGAATGTAATGCTTACTTGTCGGTAGACGCTACATAACTTTGGGAAATGATGCCACATTTTAATGATGAACAAGCATGCATGGCCATTGTCAAAGGTCCTTTGACTTCTTACCTTAAAATAACAAATTGGTTCTGTGGCTATCCACCACTCTCATCTTTGTTGATATGACCATTTCACACTAATTAAATGCATTAAACAGCATTGAATTAGCGTTACATACTACGGGAAGCATATTTACAGCTAATCAATAATTAAAACACAGCATATTTACAGCTAATCAATAATTAAAACACAGCATATTTACAGCTAATCAATAATTAAAACACAGCAACGTTAAAGCTGTTAAATAAACTAAAACACAGCATATTTACAGCTCATAAAGACATTAAATAAAACAATTGATTAGCTAACTGCTCTTCTGTTGAGGTCGCGAGACAGTCTCCACTGTTCGATAACTAGCTAAAGTTAACACAACGCTGCACACTGGCTGAAGGTGAACTAAAAGGACCAGAAACCCTGACACGAGTCTTCAATATACCGTTTCACTTTCCCACAGCTGTCAAAACATATTTTTGTGTTACAGTCAGATTTTTTTTACGTGGCGAAACCAACTTGTGCACATCTGTCAATTAGCTAGCAGCCCGGCTAACGTTAGCCAGAACTACAAAAAAGAAAAAAGGACGGTGGAAAGTTTTCGTGGTAAAGTTGTTACGATGTTAACACCAAAGCATTTGTCTCTGTGTTGCAGAATGGATTCAGTGGCGAAAGCTTTGGAAGAAGTCCTCACCTCTGCGCTACCACAGGGCTGCATTACAGTCGGAGTCTACGAGGCTGCCAAATCCCTCAATGTGTAAGTACAAGGTTATATGTTAGTCACTGACCTACTGACAGTTGTTAGACATCTCTCACACATCCTCACGTCTGTTTGACTTATGTCTAGCAGGAGATATACTGTGCTTTGTTGAAATATAAATAGACTAAATATCTGTTTTCTCTTCCTTCCCTCCTCAGAGACCCTGATAATGTGGTTTTGTGCATCCTGGCCACCGATGATGAAGATGTTAAAGATGTTGCCCTGCAGATCCACTTTACTCTCATTCAGGCTTTCTGCTGTGAGAATGACATCAACATCCTGAGAGTCAACAACACCCGGCGCCTGGCAGAAATACTGGGTGGAGGAGGAGGTGGAAAACAGAGTGGGGGTGAACCTATGGATCTGCACTGTGTCCTGGTCACTGTAAGTATCAGATCAATCTACACGTGTTATACTTCAATGAATCTTGTAATGTTTGTGAGTTAAGGCCAGGGATGTTGCATGTGAGTGAAACTCTTATTCAAGGAAAAACTTGCCTGTACTTGTTCTTGTACATTTGGTAAACATGTGTATGACTCCTCCCTCATATGACTTCTCAGGAATTTCAGCAGAGGAAAAAACCTAGTAATTGCACAGACATACAGAGAGACTATTTGTATCTTACTGCAATGTATACCATGTAAATTGATATATTATATAGATAATTTATTCTCTTTTCTTTCATATTTTCAGAGCCCACATTCGACATCATGGAAGGACCCTGCTTTGAGCAAAGTAAATCGATTCTGCAGAGAAAGCCGCTGTATGGACCAGTGGGTGCCCATTATCAACCTGCCTGAGCGATGAACATCTAGCTGCAAAAACCTGTGAAAGGACTCTTCTCTGCACAGGAAGAGTGGTGTGAACCCCAATGGACACATTACCATCCAGAGATCAAATTCCAAAGCGCTGCTGACGGGAAAAGAAAAATTTGAAGGAAAAAACCGACCCCGCTGTCTACTTGGGGTGTATTTAAAAGAGAAAAAAAGAGCTGGGGGATGGATTTCCACTTTGGACAGGACTGTTTGGAGTTGCGTCTGTCAGCCTCAGCAACCAAGATGAGATAGCGAGGCACTTGTATTGTCATAAGGTGGAAATTCAAAAAAAAGCATTTGTGTGCTTTTTAATGTGAAGCCGGACTCTGTACAGAAGGATTATATCATGTGTGTTTGGTTAAGCCTCTGACGAGTCAGAGAAGTGGGGAGAAACCAGAAAATGGAGCTGTTGAGTGGACCAAGGCCTCGGCCTCTCTCTGCAGAAACAAAGCACTTGTTGAAACACTGGACCTTTTGCAATTTCACTTATCTGATTCAAATTGTTAATGTTGACGTTGCTACTGTCATAATTTAAAAAGGGAAGGGCTACACATCCAGTGAAGACATTCTGTGTATTTAGTGTTTCCTATGCCAGCTGGTTTTTTGCCACAAGTAAAATAATTCATTTGTTACAATTTAAGTTATTTCGAATGATATTTAAGTGTATTTATGTTTCATTTTTTTACCTTAACTATTTGCAAAATCTGAATACATATGTATTGCTGTCAATAAAAAAAGTATTTGTTTTTGGAGCCAGACCTGCACGTGTTTTCTTCTTTCATTTCTGGAAATTTTAGCAAAGCCGAGCCGAATTGTGACCTTTAGCAGTTGCAGTTGTAAAGAGGAGTCACGTGCGGATCACAGGGGTCATGTTGGCCTCTGTGGCCTCAGTGCCATCTCTGAGCTGAAGAGAACAATAATCCTCAGCGCTCTCTCTGCACCGGCTTCTGCCTCAGTCAGCAGGACCATGTTCATTCATCCAAACAGGTTCCCTTTTCACCAATTCTCAGTGATTTGTCGGACAGTTAAGTTTGCATTTTTACCAGCTGACTTCATAGTCATGTGACAACTGCACACGCTGCACAGTTCATAGAGGGAATAAGGTCACAAGATTCCTACATTTATTGCATTACACATAATATTCATAATAGAAGTGAGGTGTCATCAGGTGATTCCATGCTATTCGTGTTGCCAGCTGCCTCTGCCCTCGGGACCAGAATGCGGGATGTAGCTTATTGACAAGCACATGACTGGAACTGCTTGGAAAATTTTGTAAAGAAGGCATTGACATGCAATCTGTTGTGCAAGCCAGTCTGAACTATTGCCTCCACTCCCCGCTCCCTTCCCACACACACACACACACAGGTGATCTCTCTGGAGTTGAATGCTGGTGATGTCACTGGGTTGATGTAAGGCGGGCAGTCCCCTCTGAAAGTGCAGAGTCATGATCACGAGAAGAGAGAAGGCAGAGTCTGTCCTTGAGTTGCACAACACGGTTCAGCTTTACATGTGAGAGGGATCATGTGACATTATTTAATATTGCTCAATGAAAGGCTTAATAAAATCTGGCAGTAGTAAAATTGTTTGTACAATAAAGCAGCATTCATCTTTACTGCGCCCCTGTGGTTATTTAATGTTGTTTGCTTGGTTAATCTAGTCACAGTGCATTTTCATTGGTTTCCAGACACACGCAGGTTAAGTGACCCAGAAACTCAAAACCCTGAACAGGATAGGCAAGAATACAAAGTGGATGGATGATGGATGGGCGCAGCAGTGTAGAGGTCCAGGACCTGGTAAAGATTCAGTGTCCCACTCAGCAGATTGGTTTCCCTACTCACTACATTACCCAGAAGCCCCCACTACAGACAGTAACACTAATAAGTTAAAGGCAAACTAAATGCACTTAAACTGTCTATTTCTCTGCCATAATAGTATATTAAACATAACATAACCAGGTTTATTAGGTGTACTGTAGGAAGTCAAGAATGAATGAAGGATGCAAACTAAAGAGTTTAAAACACACTGATACATTATGAGATGATGTAAAAATGCTCTTGAAACAGCCAATGTACCTGAAGTGTTCCCCTGCCCAAGGAAAATCCTCTTAGCCGTGGTGGTTTCAGTTGGCGCTGTGTGAAAGGTTATCTGGCGTGTGACTGTGGGGTGTGACGCTGACTGATGTAATGTGGCATTGTTGTGATCGAAGGGAAAAGGTTATTTTAAGATTGGTGCAGTGGAGGGCTGATGTAAGTGTTAAAACGCCACTGTGGCCTCCCAAGCCCAAAAAAGGTTTGAGGTTTTGCATACCCTTATTAGAGCCTGCTGGCTGTGCTCTGTTGTGGGTCAAAGTTCAAGTGCAGCATTATCTATGTGTTTCTAAAATAGAGCAGAATTTGATGACCTGGTAAGTCAAGGTGCACTTTGAGTTTGTAGTGCAACCTGGGGAACATATATATAGAACTGTACAATACTCGCTCATTGTGCCAAAGATTAAGAACATACAGAAAGCTATGCACTAAACTTGGTGAGAGGTGAAAGGTAAACATCAGGTTAAGATAACAGTATTGCAGAATAAAGAGGAAATCCACCATAAAATAGAAGTTATACAGTGTGATATTCAACAAAATGCCATCTCTCTTAATAAGCTGCAAATCAAAGACATGTTTTGTAGTTGGTTCATTGATTAAAAGCTATACATTCATTGATTAAGATATACCTAAATCAGGTTGATTTTAATGCAGCTGTAAGATGTCATTCAGAAAATGTACCAACAGCTAAAATGTAAATATTCTCTAATTAAATGCTCTGATCAAAACTGAGCTGAATGTTACTGTAGAAGTAAAATACACATTCTAATTTAGGGTGAAACTTCCCTTAAAGGTTGTAATTCATAGCTGCAAAAAGCTCATTTACGGGCATCAGTGGACTAATGATTAAAATCCTTTACTTAAGCAGCAGTAGCAATTTTATTATTGTGTATGAAAGAGGACATAAGTAATAGCTAATTGTAAGTAAAGTATAAAAATGAAAGTGCTTATTGTGCAAAATGGCCCCTTTCAGACTGTACACCAGGTCACAAAAGTTTATATTTTACAAAAACCCTAAAATGCTTTTTATTGCAGGACAAGTTACAAATGTATAATTCTTATTAGCACATGGTGAATACGTCTAATCAGTTGACTCTTAATAAAGTTGCAAAAAGTACAAGTACCATGGACTTAAGTACAATACTAAATGTACTCAGTTACTTTCCACCACTAGCTCTGGGTGGAAAATTTAAATGAGGTATTTAACTGGGAATCGGTGGCAGCACTGGTTGCAAAGGCAGTTGAAGAGTTAAATGAGCTCAAATGTCTTCTTTGTATATTTCTATATGCAGCTGAGTCTACCAGAGGAACCAAGGTGCCACTGCGGTCCACCCTGTCAGCCCACACCCTCCACCCTCACCCTCCGCTCCTCCCTCCCCTTCCTCTCCCCCACATCAGCACATTCCAACACACTGACACTGTAACTGCCAGGACAGATTGTCACAGTGAGGCACATGGTCAGTGAGCCGGCCTGCCAGCCACTGATCATATGCCCCCCCAACCCGTGAGTCTCTCATTGATGCACAATGACTAACTGGGATTACTGCATTACTGGAGGGGGGGGATGCTTCAGGCCTTCAGGGGCAGTCATGCTTACAGAGAATACCATGGCTGTCTGTGTCATATTCATGCATTAAACAGGAATGCCTCTACAAAAAGTTAGCTAAGAAGCATGCATTATGATTGATTTCACTGTGCGTCCCATCTTTGGGACTCAATGAAGGTGTTCTTCAGTCGACACAATGCAAACGCACCTGGCACTCCCTGCAGCGACATTTGATCTTTCAAAGAAAACAGCACAATCTGTGAGAAAAAGACATGAGGAAAAGCAAAGCCTGTTCATACTTTAGACCTTAACAATAAATAATAGGTGACAATGTCTATTCATCATTTGTCGGTTTCAAGTGTGAGAGCTGTCAGGTCCAGTTCAGTATGTTTGCAATTACAATAGGTGACGATGAGTATTATTCCTGTCTGATCTTCCTATTGTGTGTGTGAGAAAATTAAACAAGCTGTTTATCCACCAGCTGGCCAGAATCAAGGTCAGACAGACCCGAGCGGCCACCAACGGAGAGTGAAAAAAATAAAACAGACTCTCACAGACAAGCAGACATTTACCCAAAATAGTTACTCCACTCTCCAAGAGCGGAAATCAGGGTTTGTACTTTCTATATTTAGCCCTCTTGTGTTCTCTGGTTTCTGACAGCCATGGTGAGAGGCCCGAGGTCTCTCCTATCCCCAAAGAGATATAAATAAACGACTAATGACAGGAAATGGCTCCAGATACACTGTGGGCAGATCCATCTGAACAATAAATGAGCAGCATCAGGTTTCTATATTAAAGACTGTGGATCTGATCACAAGTTGCAATCTTCCGACTGTGCAGCACAACACATCTTTATTGAGATATTAGTACAGTATTGTACTGTAGGAATGCTTCACTTTATTAATCTTTGTTAAGTCTTCATACAAAGGTTGGTATATTAATAAAGACATTTATCAAAAATGCAGATTCTGACAGTTAAATTAATCTATCAATGGTACAATAAGGCCGTTACAGAGTTGCTGAATGGACAGAAATTATGACATGGCAGTGGTAATCTGACCTTTTCCTTAAGAGGCATATTGGAATGATTTATTTCAAGTAAGAAGAACTGATGGCTAGAGACAATCATAAAAAATACAACTGGATAATAACACCAGATCTCGCTGATTTGAAGACCTGAACGTACCCTTTGGAGAAGGCAACAATACCAAAAACTGCTGAAAAGTGGAGCACCAGGTAAGTGAAACACGGTTTAACATTTTCTGCATGTGGACAAAAACAGATGGCACAATATTGTTACAAATCACTTTCATCCCACAAATAAAAACATTCGACAGAATCTTCTTTTTTCTTAAAGAAAGCACTCCCATTCAGAGTTGTCTTCATGATACAAGGCAAACATAAGTAAGGCTTTAGAGTGAAAGAAGTGTTTTATTTATCTATTCTGTTTTTGAAAATCACAACATGAAGGACATGTTAGACTGAAGATTGAAGACCCGCACCGACACCAACGTTATAGTGAAAATTGAAAAACGTGAAAAAATTTGAGAGCAGTCTTGGGAGACTGGTTTTTATCATCAATGCACACTACCATTCACACCTGTACCTACAACACTTGTGCCAAAAACACTTTAAGACAACGAACCATGTGCACATTCGCTCAACTAAGACACTTGTGATGAGCAAGTAGGCGTGGCTCACAGAGTTGCGTAACACTCGTGGCGCACATTGTGCCGTCAGTTTCCTAAAAATAGCGTACCACAGAAAGTTTTCAGTAGGAATGGCTAAAAATAGTCTTATTCAAAAGCATATTTAGATGTTTTGCAATGTAGTCCATTGGTTTAGCTTGGTCCCAGGGTCTTCATTACACAGTGTTGCCCAACACACAATGGCAGCTGACGCTTTAAGTAAAAAAAAAAAAAAAAAAAAAAACATAATTCTGCACTGCATTCATGTGATAAAGCATTTTCATTTTCGCTTCATTATCTGTATTTTACATGTACAGCTGACAGATTTCCAAAAGCATCACAGCACTGGGGTCATATTGTCCCAATGGCTTGAATCTGAGCAAAGATCTTGGATTTAAGATGCTTATAAGGAACCCTTCTCAACATGATGGTTCATTAAATAAGCTAAAGACAACACTGTATTATGGTAATCATACTGCAAATACCAGACAGGAATACAATGAGTTAAATGGCATGTGGATTGTCATGGACCAGTGGGTTGCACAATACTTTGAGTATCTGAATTCTAACACCAGATAAGGCGACATTACCGCCCCAATCAAAGATACATTGTGGTAACATTTGAGTAGAAGCTCAACGTAAACCCAGACCCCTGAATCCAGTGATCTAAACTGCACAATATCTGGAAAATACCGGTGGAAATTAAGTCTGAAGCCACATGATAAGAGCCATTATTATCCATCTTAAAACTTATATGCTTTTAAAGGACTGAGGGGTAACTTTGGCTGCATGAATCCACTTAAGGCAAACCAGCGAGACAGTAACAGTCACAGCCCAATGGAGACTGTTTACATAGGAAGGACCAAATCATTGACGAGTGCCAGTGCTGTTACAACATATAAACAATAACATCTGCTCATTATTATTTCAGGAACATCATGTACTTGATGCCATCACTACTCATGCAGCCAAAGTCTTGTTAGTGGTCGGAGCTCAAACTGAACAGTGGCACTGCCAGGGGAAATATCAGAGAATAGTACAGGTTGTAGGTTTTTTTTTTTTTTTTACTCATTACAAATTGCTGTTTTTAAAGAAAATGGTGGTTGGATTGCTGAATTGTTAACAGAACAGGTGAACACATGGTAATAATACGATCACAGTCCACCCCTTACTCCTCCCAACAAAAAGAATACAGCAACATTAATAAGCAAAAAAAAAAAAAAAAAAAACACATAAAGGCTAAGTGGCGTCCACTACAATATAGTGCAGGGTTTTTTGTCCTTGAAGGGATTGTCTGAAGTGGGGATGCCCATAAGGAGAGGGTCGTTTCTGGCGTGTGCACTGCAGTAGTTCATAAGGTCCGCAGAGGCCTTGGATACCTACAGAAACAATGGAAGACAATGACACGGGGGGGGTTTATCCAGTCCAATTTTGTACAGGGCCTGTGTTTATCAGACGTCTAAGAATTAGGTTCACACTGCACAAAGGGGCCCAAATCAAAATTTTTTGCTCATATGTCAGTGTGAACAGCATAAAACACATAATTCTGATCAAATCATTCGGATTTAAGCCTCTTTTTATATGCAGTCCAAATCAGATACCGGTCTGAATTTTTGCAGTGCGACCTCAGTATGAACAGTCACATAATAATTCATGTGAATATTAATGTCATTATAGATCTAAGTTCATCATGAGGGTCTCTTTAGGACCATGACCTGTTCACACTGGAATCTGAAATGGGCCACATTTAACAAATGCTGTGAACAGTCAAACACACAAAATAAATCAGATCTGAGTAATAAATCAGAATTGAGCGATAAGGCTTGCAGTGTAAACGTACATAAAGTCACGTGTATGCTCAGAGCAGGGGCAGCCAGTCACATGCCACAATTTCAACATCTGTCACATGGTTTTAAAGAAATCCTTGTATTTTCTCAGCGATATGTTATTCTGCAAAAGCAGAAATGTACTTATTAAACAAATGAATTTTATATTTTAATATAAAATAATATTTAATAATTTAGTATCTCCAGTACCATTTAACACATAACATTTACAACACTGTAATTTTTATATCTATTATATATTAGTGGGAAATAATAGGATTTTGACTGAAATGGAAAACAAAAAACCTGGAGCAGGGATGAAATTCTGCTGCTGGTAGATAAGGTGTATCACACAAAACAGATTATTTAGTATCACGATGACAAGTGCAGACAATTGAGATTGATGGGAAGTAGATGCACTGCCTGGTTTCTTGTTGCACTGTACCTTTATCCTCTCAAGGCTCGCCTCTATTCTCAGCTGCTGCACCGTCCGCCGGGCATGGGCGATGTTATTGGAACTGTGAGCTTTCGAAGACATCCTGGGCAATACAACACTGTAATGAAGAACAACAAAAAGAAGCTTAATACTACTGAAGATCATTATTTTTCTTAAGAACAGATAAAACATGGACGTAAGCCTCCTAAGATCAATCTTTGTTTTCAGCCCCTTTCAGGTCAAACTGGAGACAGGCAATAATGCCCACACTTGATTCAGATTACAGTTTAAGAACTTGGCTGTGATGATGACAGCTGCTTGGCAGATCACAGAGCAGCTATGTGCAAAAACCACCTTGTGTATCAGATAAAGGGGACAGAATGAATAAGCAGACAATATAGGAGCCTGTGTCACGCTGTGCAGGGAAGAGTGTCATATTAACATTCATATAACTACAGTTCCTGCAGGTAATAAAACTGCTGGTTTAATAAGGACCAACGACTCCTCTTCCAAACTTCCTCTTCCTCTGCAGGGTTGTTCCCAAAAGTGACATCACCAGCTAGGCCTTTTATCAACAAGTAAACATAAAGCTGAGGTACATCCATGCAAATTTTTCTTTTGCCTTTGTGCAAACATGTAGCGAAACACTCGAGTGGATTTAGATTTTTCATTTTTCTTTGGTCCATTTGCACGCTTTTAGGCAGTGCGGTATCCCTGCTGCCAGACATGGCCCAATAATGCCACATTGTGTCAGTGTGTACACTATGAGCTCAGCTGATAGGTGCTTAACTACAACAATGACTGAAAATCTGACACTGCAAGATATCTATATTTGAACAAAAAGTTAAAACAATATAACGATTTCAGTGTTGAAAAGTGTGTGTGAATGAGGGGCTGCTGTGTAGGAGTGAAGTGTCTGGGGGCTGCAGTGGGTCGGAGTTGTGATTCCACTTCCTGCTAATCATTGACAGACTGGATGGGAACAAGCCTAGACACATCCTACAGTCCATGTGGGAGCTCTGGCTCCAGTGTCTCTCCCCTGCACTCTTAGTTCCTTTTTAATGCCATTTGTCTGTTTTTCTCATACAAACACACACACGCATTTCCCTTTGCAACACACACATGCCATCTTGTGACACACCTCGCTTTTGCCAAAACTTTTCTCAGTAGGGAACAGGAAGCTTCAAGTACAGTTTCTCAGAAGTTTATTGTGAAATTGACAAGAAAAGCTCAAAGTTTATTTCTTTTAAACAATAAAAATGAGGAAACGCTGAATTTGTCTGTTACATGCCTTAGCAATTAAATACCCATTTTGTTTAATCAGCATATTGTCATAATAATGATTAACTTCAATATGGTGCATAAATGCTTCTAATACTTTAGTGTACAGTACAAGTGTGCAGTGTTGTGTAATCAGGCCTCAGTAACCGTAAAGAAAAGGATAATACGGGAAGGTGCAACAGTTATTAGCCAACAACTTTATGCTTTCTTTGTTCAACCCTATCTGCACCCCGCTCACCCTGCAGGATGTAGCCCCCCCCAGACGGCCTCTGATCCTGGATCGCACTGCTCTTCATTCGCTTCAGGGACAAAGAGGGAGGAATAAAGACAAATAAACGGAACTGGGAAGGGAAGGAAAATCTCAATTTTCTGACTTTTTGTAGGGAGCGCCTGATTAGAGAGTTTTTCCCCCGAACTAATCACTCCAGGAAACACGGCCAGAGATGACTCAAAGAGCTAAAATGTTATTGATAACATGAAAGTGAGACATGAAAGGGCCATGCATTACAGTAGAAAGCAAACAATCTTACTAAGGAAACATTCTCAACTTAGTCATAAAGGCGAGGCACCACAGGTGAAGAGGGCAAAAAGATTCTTTTATCCATACATGATGAGTGAGGGCATTTATTTCTATAGTCTGGAGGAGGTCTTTAGATGGAACTAATGCGTGTTTATGTTGCGTTTGCTCCCACGACAAACATCAGTTAAGCTTTAAATGACGTGGCGCAGTGCTTGAAAATGACTACATTTTCATTACAGTGCAAGAGGGGTTTATCACCTCTGGTAAGTAAAAATAGTGTCTTTTGAAAGAGATGTGAATTCAAGCAGATCACATAAACTTTTTACAGCCACCTGTCAAAGTCTACAGGAGTTGGGTTTCAGACTAAAAAGATAGATTTCTGATGGTATCACCTTAAATAATCATGTCAGTGACAAGGTCAGTCATTTGTAACCATAATGAACTCTGCTGCTTTCTTGGCTGACTAGCAATCAGTATAATAAATCTTATTTGTGGCAATCCCTCAACTGGAGCACAGAGTTAGTCACCAAGTTAGTCTTTGTGCTCTGCTTCAAATGCTTCTCCAAGCAGATCATTTACTGCTGCCAGGTAAAAACTTGGACCTCCTGGCGCTACAGAGAGTACCAGATTGCGTAGTTTATAAATTGTGCAATATGCAAACACAGTACAGAAGCTGCTGATCAAGTACAACAATGAATAATGAGATAACATGAGAAATGCAAACAGCCTTCACACGGCAGGGCTGCGGTAACAATTCACTTAGAGAACTCCCTCTTCTTGAAATCCATCCATTGAGCTAATAATCCAGGACTTGAATTTAACACTGCAATCTTAGCTGACTTAAACATTCTGCAAATAAAAACAGAACAGAGTAATTACACCTTTATCAACTGAGAATAACTATGAGCATATAATGTATATAATGTTTTTTTGTTTTTTTGTTGTTGATTACATTCAAATCAAATGTATAAAGGTGCTGCTTTCTTATTCTACTAATTGCCTTTTTACAGTACAGACTGACAAGCTAGCAAGGCTGAAAAGCAGCCTCCTGATACCTGTCCATCCGTCACGCGATAAAGCGAGACATGCTGAGACACCCACAGTTAAGATAAAGTAAGGACAGAACTAATAGCCTACTACTCTCAGGTGCTGAAATATCAGTTCAACCAGCATGTGGAGTAGAAGAAATAGGTAGGAAGAGGCACTTAAACCCCACTGGCATTCAGAAGTGATTTTTCCCGACCTCACCTCAGTCAAACTGCAGCCCCTGTGATGTGATGCCAGCTACTACCAGCAGCACCGGTCTGACTGAAACTCTATGGGAGGGCACTGATGTGTGGCATTAAGCACCGCCATGTACGCATAGGAGCCTTGGAAAAAAAGTTACCTCCAAGGATCAGAAAAAGACCACCCCCTTCACAGCCCACCCTATCACACCACACACACAGACACAGACACAGACACACACAGACACACACACACACACACAGCAGCCAGGACCACCTACTGCACAGAGCAGCCCCCAGGCTCTACTCTACCTTATACACACAAATACACCCGCACACATGCAGTTCATTAAGACGGTGTTCAAAGTGCCAAAAACAGGGAACCATTATGACTCAGTGCCATTAACACCAACACTCAGAGATGAAAAACTGTGTGTGTGTCTTACACTGCTACTATACTGCAGCTCAGACCCAAAGAAAACTCTTAAATTTGCAGCTGACGAATAAAAACGACATCCATTAAAGGCTGAAAGAAGAGTCAGTCCTGTCAACTGTACAGTATGTGTGGTCCCTTCAGGGGGTATCTGAGGCTTTTCACACTCAAGTAGCTTTCAGGGCTTAAGTATTGCCGGCTGCACTGAAGATTTGACACAAGGTGATGAGAGGTAGGCCAAGGTTATGCTTTTTCCACATCCAAAGCCTTCTATTTAGTTCACCCCTAAATGACAAGTCAGTCATTCTTCACCCTCTCTTTTGTGGTTTGTAGGACTATAAAAACACAGTAAGTTAGCACCTACAGTTCACTATCTGAGAAAAAAAAAAAAAGATTTTATAATAGACATTGTAGAGGATTTCGCTGCAGATGTTAACAGCTGGCTTTATTAACTTCAATAACTTGGAGAGGTCTTGGGTAGAATTTATGTAGACTAATGCTGAAATTATGTATCTGCAGGCCTACTTAGAGGGCATTATGGGTAACTGTAGGTTGAAGGGGAGCTGATACACACACCTCCAAAATCTCAAAAACATTTGTCAAGCAAGCTGACTGGTTGATTCACCTTGGGGACACAAATTTGAAACAACAATACAAATAAACAAGTAAACGTCATACTCGAAATGTGTACAGGTACAAAACAAACAAAAGCAAATGTCTGAAAACACTCATTCGTTCACTTACACACAGCCCAGAGAAGAAGCCTTAACTCAACATGTAAGTGGTGCTCTCACAAACCTGCACTGAAGTTTATCACACAGCAGTGAGAGGATGTGAGAGATTATTCATTTTGCTGTGAACACCTTTAATGTGATGATGGGTGGATGAAAAAGTCTTCACAAGATACAATGTTCCTCATACGGTTGTAGTAGTCCACTTTGGTTCAACTGAAATATCTCAACAACTGCTGGATGGATTGGTGTTGACTTTGATGCAAACATTCATAGTACCCATAGTACCCCACTAGTAAAAACGTTGGATATCTCCTGACTTTTCATTAATACCAAATAACTACAAAACCTATGGCATTATCATCAGCCTGAGTTGCCCTTTGTGTTTACACACTAAACATTATCCCTGCTTAACATCAGCATGTTTTGTCATGTTTGGCATGCTCGTTGTCATTGTGACCATGCTGATGTTAGCTCAAATCACCACTGCTGTTTCTAAGTACAGCCTCACAGAGCTGCTACCATTGCGGCAGACTCATACGTTTTCCTACTGAAACAATGGTCTTCGTGCACATTTGCAGATGTATGCAAACTTTACTTTCTTATCGGCCAAATTAAAGTTGACATTTTATTGCCAGTTACACTTCTGGTGATCATGTTAAAAACTCCCTGACATGTCTACTGCCTGGCGTCTGTCTGATTTTATATTACCAGCTGAGAAGTGAAGAACAGTGAATTGTGGAAAGGCGATATTTGGAGTCTAGACAGATGTCTGCTGCTTTGAACAAAAGAGAGTTCAAAGACTTGGGCCCCAGCCACAAGCGAGTATATTGGTTGTTATCCCTTGTGTACTTGCACACATACACACACACACAACTCTGTCATTTGTCTCATGTACCCCCCTCCCCCTCGCACTCTCTCTCTGCA